AAAAGAAATATAAATTGAGTCACTGTACCAGAAAGAACTGGTCAATGTTCAAACATTTCAGAAGACAGATATGGTACTGAATGAAGAAGTCTATGCTACATTGAAGGCATAGCTATAACAGAAGATTCCAGGAATTGACAGAACACCAATTGAAATGCTTCAGCAAATGGATGGAGCATTTGAGGTGCTCACCTGTCCATGCCAAGAGTTTGGAAGACAGACATTTCAATTCAGAAAAAAGACATCAAGTGCTCAATTCAGATTCTGCTCCAAAAGAGAGAGAGCATGAGAATCAGTCTTCTTCTATACGGTTTTACAGCCTTGACAAACAAAAGGCAATAATAGGTTTGAGTTTTAGTTTGGCATACTAATTTATCCTTGTACAGTGAAAGCTGAACTGTGTATCTGACAAATATTTTCAGAATTGAATTTTTTTTTAAATCACCTATGATTGCCCTGTACGTTATTGACTGATTTGCTGTAGAAATCAATTCCTGCTTTTTCACAGTAAGAATTTCCTTGATCCCCTAAAAAAAATAAAATAAATTTTCCCACCTCATCTCTGTGGCTCACCTTTCAGCTAAACAATAGACAGAGCTATAAGAAATCCCTGGTGACCTACTGGTAAGGAACTGTGCTGCCAACCCAAATGTGCATGGTTTGAATCCACCACCTGCTCTGCAGGAGAATCATGGGCAGTCTCTTCCAGTGCATTGCATTAACTGTCTCTGAAAATCCACTGGAAGGTCAAATATGGGTCAGTTCTGACTTGATGATACATAACAACAACACCAAGCTGGCACTAATCTCTTAGAATCATTGACCATAGGAAGTAAAAATGGTAGTATTTGCCCAGAGATAAGGCCCAAAAGGCAGAAAGGAATATGACAAATGGAAATGAGAATCACAGGGTGAAAACAGGAAGAGTAAAGTTACATTGCAGGTATTTCAAGTAAGTGTTATAAAATGTGTATGAATGGTAGGATGGAAAACTCATTTGCTTTGTAAACTTTAATTCAAATCACAATTTTTAAAATTATGCTTTTGAGGATACAAACCCCTTCCTTAGATAGTTAACAAACTTCAAGTAATACTATATTAATACTTTTGCTGCCAGATGTGCAGTCTATATTTAGAAGAGGTAGAGGTACAGGGATATTATAGCTAATGTAAGATGGATCTTGGCAGAAAGCAGAGAATACCAGAAGAATGTCTCTCTGTCCTTCATTGACTATGCAAAGGCTTTTAACTGTGTTGATCAAAACAAGCTATGGCTGACTCGGGGAAGAATGGGAATCCCAGAACATTTGATTGTGCTTATACGAAATCTTACTTGGACCAAGAGGTAGTTGTCAGAACAGAGCAAGGAGACACTACATAGTTCAAAATCAAGAAGGGGGTTCCATCAGGGATGTATTCTGTCTCCATACCTTTTCAATCTGTAAGCAGAACAGATCATCCGAGATGCTGGGCTGTACGAGGAGGAATGTGGCATCAGGATTGGTGGAAGAGTCATCAACAATCTGTGTTATGCAGATGACACAACCCTGCTTGCTGCAGAAGGTCAAGGACTGCAGTCTTCAATAATGGATTGAAGCTCAACATCAAGAAAACAAAGATTCTAACCACCGGGCCAATTGGCAGCATCAGGATGGATGGCAAAGAGATTGAGATAGTTAACAGTTTTCATTTACTTGGTTCCACAGTCAACACTTTTGGCAACAGCAGCCAGGAAATCAGGAGACGAATTGCATTGGGAAAGTCAGCTGTGAGGAACCTCTCAAGAGCACTGAAGTGCAACGACGTCAGGCTGGAGACTAAGATGTGCCTGATCCAGGCTATAGTCTTTGCAATTACGTGCTATGCATCGGAGAGTTGGACAGTGAATAGGGATGATAGGAAGAGAATTGATGCCTTTGAGTTGTGGTGCTGGAGAAGAGTGTTGAATATACCATGGACTGCTAGTAGAACAAACAGGTTTGTCCAGGAGAGGGTGAAATGTTCCAAGAATGTTCCCTGGAGTCAAGGATTCTGAAGCTTTGTCTGACATACTTTGGGCATGTTGCAAGGAGAGACTGGTCCTTGGAGAGGGACATCATGTTTGTGAGAGTGGAGGGACGGCACTGGAGAGGAAGACCCTCGTTGAGAAGGATCGATTCTGTGGGTGGAGTGGTGGGAATGAATGTGTTTGAGATGGCTAGGTTGGCACAGGATAGAATGGTGTTTAGGGCTCTTGTACATAGGGTCACTATGAGTCTCAAACGAATCGATGGCACATAACAACAACAACCCCCAAACTAGGGCGCTCTCGTGGCCTAGTGGCAAGAACCTGCACTGCAATCCCGGTTCAAGGCCATTAGTTGCTCTGTGGAAGAAAGATGGGCAATCTTCTCCTGTACCATTAACTGCTTCTGAAAACTCACCTAATGGTGAGCTATGGGTCGGTTCTGACTCCACTCTACGGTAAACAACAACAACAACCCCCAAACTAAAAAAAAAAAAAAAATTCCTTCGTTATACACATTTTTTGAGTAAAGCGTATATGTTAAAAGCACTTGTACTCCGTGGTATTAACTGGCATTGTACTGAAACGTAAAAAAAAAAATGTCGTGTAACAGGTCATATTAATCTCTTCACTTTAAGAGAAATAAAAAAATACTAACACTTGATAAAGGACTCAGCCAACAGGTTTATACACTTATTTGAAAGATACATGAAGATTTGAGACATGTTGCAGATAATGGACTTTAAAAAGTTATTTAAATGCACAGATGCATACTAGAGGAAGAAACAGTAATTACTCTTTGTGTTGAAAGATGACTAAAGTCTCCTGAGTTCACAAAAGAAGAATTAAAACAGAGAATAGTATATTTATGCCCATAATTATCCAGAATTATTAACAAAATGTAAGACTTAAAAAACGTTATATATTTTAAGTTGGGGGGGGACGAAAATAGCACATATTTTTGTAGCCATATCCAATACACATACCAACATATACCATGCCACCATGCGACTTGTTTTAATTCTTAATCTGATTCATAACGGAAAAGATCATGTGGCAAGGAGTTTTACACTATTTCATTCACAAAAAAAAAAGGAGATTATCCATCAAACAAGCACATTTCCCCCAGGATTTCATAGAGTCAATGAACTAGACACATTTTTTCCTTTCAAATCACCAAGCTATGCAAAATATTTCCAGATAATCTGAAAGGTATGAAACAGCAAATTAAGCTCTTTCTGTTCAGGCAATCTTCAGCATTATGGTGCACTTTTTTTGTCAAAGCTGTCAGAAGTTTGAAAGTTGAAGAGGAAATCTGAATAAAGGCAGTATGGGAAACAGACACATACCTTAGAGATGATTAATGGTCCTCCGTGCTCCAGACCACCTTTCAAAGTAAAACCCCAGGGCGCGCCTCCCTGCAGGAACACTTCCAGATAAATGTACCTGCGCTTGGGGGGCGCGTTAGGGCTTAGTGTGGCACTGGGCTCATCAACGTTCTCTCTCGTCCTCATCATGCCAAACACATGGCCCCTCGAGTTAAATTTAAAATGCTTGGAGCAGATTCAGGAAAGCAAGGCTTCTACAGCATAAATTACTCCATCCTTCATGGTACACACCGCTCAAAAGAAAGGGTTCCTGAAAGGAGTCCTTCCGGATGTAAAATGTTCTTCCAAGCTTAACTCCAGGATGCTGACATGGGAGGATTTTTCCTCTTTAATGTTTCTCAATGTGAATGCTGCTCCAGGAATTCCAGGTCTCAATGAAGTCCCCGAGGGTTATCTCTCCACTCCTTTCAACAAAACAAAGGAAAAGGTTTTAGAATGTCGCTCTGAAGATAGCTCGTATTTTACACATGCACCAAAACTTTACTTTCTGTAGATTTGGCAACGAAAATAATTTTACAATACAGCAAGCAAGCCGGTTGAAATGCGAATGAATACTTCATTTTTTGATTGATTACTAGCCTTTTCTTGCTCTCCGAGTGAAATTTACCATTACAATAGCCTCCTCCCACCCCAGAAAGAGCTTTAAAAGAAAGAGGGTACTTACTATGCTTCTGTTCGCTGCAGAATTTTCGGACTTGTCCTAATGAGACTGGAAGCTGTGCTAAAACATCTCATTCCTTTTTTTCCCCCCCAGCAATAAGTTTGTCATTTGCTTTCGGGGGGGGGAGGAGAAAGTTTTGTAGAGAAAATAAAAAACAAAAACAGACTTAAAAACAAACAAACATAGAACTGGAATCCTCAGTGGGAAGAACACCAAGAAGGCAGCTCGTTTCTTTGGTACCTTTCTCACTGATGAGCAGCAGCTGCTTTCTCTGCAGCCTCTTGCTCCCTCCGCAAGAGTGAGGAAGTAAGAAAATGGATTAGGGCAAAGGGAGGCATTGCCTCCTTCCTGCACCGTAAGCACTCTGCTGTGCAGAACTCAATTCACCATAAAGAACCGACAAATCAAACCGCCTTACAGTGGGCCAAATGAGTACATTAACATGCCATACAGATGACTAATGACCAAGGAGTAGCAAATAGTTGCTAGAATAGCCCCCCCATCCATACCAATTAAAGCAGAATCTGCAGGGGGGAGATGCAGGACTTGGAATTTTTCTAAAACTCTCTAGGAAATTCTTTTGGGCAGCCAAGTTTGAGAAGCAGTAACTTAAGCCATTTTTATGAACATTAAATGTTAAGGTGGTGGCCCAATGGCTTCCCACCACCATCACCATTTTATTGGGGGGGGGGAATTAAGTATAACCAGCCAAACATTTTAAATATTTCCATTTGTTTGGCTCAATACAAAACACAAGCCAGCTTTCTTCGCTATTTTAATTGCTTGTTATCTACCTCAAGATTGCTATTCACTCTTTAAAGGAAAAGGAATGTATAATGCCTGGCCAGCAACAGACATTCAAGGCTGTATATTGTTCTGATTTCAGATAATCAGAACTCAATGTAATTTTGTAATAACGTTACTTTAAAATAGAATACACTTCAACTCAACTAGACTGCAGCTAGCAACAACAAACTTTTCAAAATAATGCATTTGGGTGAACATTTTACAATTCATAATGGTTTCTCATAAAATCATTCAAAGACATCTTGTTTTATAGTTACCATTGATTCATATAATTAATTTATTATGTCTCATCAGTCCCTTATTGTGTATTACCTTTCAAGTTGTTATGAAAACATTGAAAAGTACAAGATAATTTTTTTTTTGTCCAGAAGACTTAGTTTATTCAATTGCTGAAACAAATTATAATTCTCCTAAGGAATATACTTGCTAAAATTTTTGGGTTTAAAAGTATGTGGTAATGTGTATTGGGCTAAATATTGTGGTTAAAATTATCATAGGTTTTGGAAACTAATTTTTTTGCATTCATACCTATAATTAAAGAAGAACTAACAAAGAAATAAATAAAACATGAAAACACGACTAGATACTATTACATGTACAACACACAACAAATGCTATTTTATTTTCCACTAGTAATTTCTTCTGAAGGGCTTAGAAACAAAAAAAATAAAGTATAATCTTATTTTGTATATCAGTATTTTGGTGATAACATCAAATATACAGAATGTAAGTATGTACTGAAGTTTGGCCGATTTACTTAAACAGTTTTTAGTGGGGTTTCCATTTAAAGCTTACTTTATAAACCAAGAATAAAAA